ATATATATAAAAGTAACTCCATTAAACTTACCCCTTGGCCAAATCATTTGTCCAACCATCTCATCCCAGGAAAACATGACCCCTAAATTATCTCATTCACTTGCTCTCTGATCTGTCTCCATTTTCACCCTCCAATCTGAAATCAAAGATATGGGAATCCATGCTATTACTAGGTTTTTCTATGCATTTTTCTTCCTATGTCTTTAATACATACTCCAAATCTCTCCAAAATGCAGCCATATTCTGTTTACATTTAACTGTATTGTACTGTCCTGCATTTATTTTTTTCTTTTTAAAAACTTTTCCCTTTCTTCCCCTATTTCGAGATTTGATTGGTTACCAAGATATAGTTAGAACAATTCTTCAAACATTGTCCCTAGATAAGACACATGCTCATCTACACGCAGAAGTTTGCATGTTTCAGAGGGATTATCTTTGCCCAGATAAATGTATATCTTGGCATAGTTATGTTCTGAGGTTGTTGTACTTAGTGTTTCCCTCGGGCTAATACAGATGTTAGTCTACTGTTGAGCCTAGAGTTATACAAATAAAAGGTGTGATCCTGTTCTGCTCCTTTTTAAAACATGTAATCATGATTCTTCTGTGTGTAACCTGCTAATACTACTTTTTAACACTGTGATATGGAATGTTCAGGTAGATGTGGGTGGTCTATGTTTCGTTGATTTTTTTAATATTTTATTTATTTTTGTTTTATATGTATGAGTGCACCCATGCATATATGTGCATGTATGTGAGTGCACCCATGTCATGCAATGCCACAGAAGTCAGAAGAGGGCTTCAGCTTCCCCTGGAACTGGAGTTAAGGATAGTTCATAGCCACCATGTGGATGCTGGGAATTGAACCCAGGTCCTCTGCAAGAGCAGTCAGTGCTCTTAACCACTGAGCCGTCTCTCCAGCCCTGTTTCACTGATCTTACCTCAGATTCAGTATAAACTCTAGAACTTATTCAATTAAGGTAAATTTTCCTTTGTTTTTTGTTGGTAGCCTATTTCTTACACATGTATATGTGTGTATGTGTGTGTGTGTGTGTGTGTGTGTGTGTGATGTGTATGTGTGGTATGTATGTGTGGCACATGTGTTTGTTCCCATGCACATGCTCATAGGCCAAAGAAGGTGGTCAGGAGTCCTGCACTTACTGACGTATTCCATTGAGATGAGTCTTTCACTGAACCTGGAGCTGGCTGTTCTTTTGACTAGTCTGGCTAGCTAGCATGCCCTGGTAATCCTCCTGTCTCTACCCCCTCAGCATTGGGATTACAGGTGACATTCCAGGTAGTGCGATCATGCCTAGCTTTGGGTGCTAAGGATCCAAACCTAGATCTCCATGCTTGTGAAGTAAATGCTCTTACCCACTGAGTCATCTCTCCGGGCCCTCTCTGTTCCTTTTTATCATTCTAAAACTTGTAGTCCTTATATGTAGAAATCTATACTTGCTATCATTTCTATTAAGCTATGTACCTGTTTTAGTTTTCATTCTAGTATTTTCCTTGGCTGCTGTCCCCAATTGCCAAAAACATGGAGTCTAAAACACTGAAAATGTGTGACGTTGTCTCTGAAGAGATACAAGTTCGATGTCAGTTACAGTGGACTAAACTCAAGCCGTTGTCAGGACTAACTTCCTTCCTAGCCTCTCTCAAGAAGGAACTCTTTCCTCACCTTTTCCATCATGCAGAGGTAGTTCATGTTTCTTGGCTGTGGGTACATGGCCCTGTCTTCAGAACCAGCCAGGCTGCAGGGCACAGGCCGTTCTTTGAAGTCACATGATCTTCTCACCCACTTTTTGCCTGTTTCTCTACTCTTAAGGACTTTTTGATTATAATGAATGCACTTAAGAAATCAAAGATAACCCCCCGTCTGAAGGTCCTCCATTTACTCACATCTGCAGATCTCCTTTTTCCATGCAAGGTAAAAATTTTACGTTTTAGGCATTAGGACGTGAGCAAATTAGGCTATCATTATTTTGTCTACCATACCTGTCTCAAGACATTTTATCCTTCTGATTGAGTAAGCATCAATAATTAGTTGAATGACCGGGAAGAATGATGAGGAAAAAGAGGACATATATTGGTCTAAGTGATCGTTTTCACAGCTTTTTGTAATTATGCTTTTTCAGAAATGTTCCCCCTTAAACTTCCTAGCGCTCAACCCCTGGTGCCCTCATTCTGTACTCCCTCCAGCGTGTCTGTGGCTGGGCAGCTGACCATGTGCTCTTGTTCTTGCAGAATCCAGTGAACATGAGGACAAGAGCGCAGGTGCCTCAGGGGAGACACCCTCCCAGCCTTACCCTGCGCCAGTGTACAGTCAGCCTGAGGAACTAAAAGAACAGATGGACGATACAAAGCCAACAAAGCCTGAGGAGAGTGAGGACTCAGACCCACTGCCAGACAACTGGGAAATGGCCTATACAGAGAAGGGTGAAGTCTACTTCATCGAGTGAGTTTCAAACATTTCTTTGAACATTGCTCTCAAGATGATACATAGAGGGATATCAATAATGCCATAAGTAAACATATGTTGAAAAGAAAACCTGGGAGTTTTATTATTTCTGTTAACAGTTCAACAGAATATTGCTTGGATAGAGCTAATGCATAGACTATGACTACCTGTATCAAAGAACAAATTAAGCAATTACACTGTAAAACTCATGACAATGGAAGTCTAAATAGAAAACTCCCCATGTGGTCCAGAAGTCATGAGAAAATGCTTACTCACCTCCTTCGCGGAGATCGTCCCTGTACTTTATTTCCAAAAATGTACACCACCATGTTCAAGACTTTAGTAGCATGTGACTATTTAAAACAATGTATTTGCTGGTCACAACATAAATACATTTAGTACTTGACTCTGAGGCCCTGTCAATGAAACAGTTCATGTAACTCTTCGCCTCAAACTTACTTCTAGGAAACACCATTTTGTTGCTTACCTATATTTTTATTTTTTGAGGGGTAGGTGGTATTGGGTGCTGATCATCATTTTTATAATTCACCAAAGAAACTGAAATTTTTCATGAACTCCTGAATGATACTCAACCTAATCTGTTGTTCTTTTAGGACTTTTTTTCTAAAATATTTATTTTTCACATATTCTATTAATAATAATGCTCAGCTCTTCTATCCTTTGTTTCTATTAGAACAACTCTAAAAAATCATAATTAACATAATTGTACATATTTACAGAGGAATAGCATTATAATTTAATACATGTATACAATGAGTAATAATGCAATCAAGGTAATTAGAGTTTCCATCATCCCAAACACTATTATTTTTATATGTTGAGAGCCCTCCAGCTCTTCTCTAGGTATTATGAAATGTATAATTAATTGTTGTAGAGAAACTCCAAAGTTGAAGGCTTTGACCCAAAATTAAATAGTTAATATGAATCAGACAAACAAAATGTTGATTAGAAATAATAAAACCTAAAAATATTATAATCTTATTCCTTCAGAATTGTCTGAGTCTCAAAGGAACAATAATACAAATTGAAGTTCTCAGTGCTGGTAGTAGATTAAAAAGTACATATACTTTGATTACTCAAGAGAAATATTAAAACTGGACTCCCTTTCCCGACCCATCATGATTTGTGATTTAGATCTCTATAGGCATAACTCAGCTGTGAAATTGAAATGTTGCCACATACCAATACTCAATTCTCACGTGAAGCTGGAAACTTTGATACATGTAGCCAAGGGAATCCATAATCAGGTAATTACTTGGCGCTCTGCATGACTCCAGCATGAACAAGAGTTGCAGTGTTTTACAGAAAGTGATTCACTAACCTCCACCTTTCAACAAATATTCTGTTTTCTAAGGATAGAGTCTCTTGCATTATTTTTATTGCTGTAATCGGTGACACTCAGCTATCTGTTGTCAGTATGAGGAAGCTATATAGAATTTTGTAAAACATGATCAACTAAACAATCCTTGAACCATAATTTTAATGTTGATAAGGATAGCATACCATCACTGCAGACTCGAAGCCAGACACTGATGTTCAGAATCATGAGGCTGATGAGATGCATGCATTATGTACCACAGGATGAGAAAAGATGTGGAAATAATAGAAAGAGAGCAGCATAAGTTGGCTAAAATCATTTCCAAAACTTTTTTTTTAATGCAACTGTAAAAACCTTCCATTGTAATTATAAAAAGTAATTTCCTTGGGCTACAGAGATGGCTCAGTGGTTAAGAGTGCTGACTGCTCTTGGCAAGGACTCAAGTTTGTTTCCCAGTACCCATATCTGTCTATAACTTTATTTCCAGGTGATCCGATACCTCTGGCCTCTATGAACACCTTCAAACACACTCACACATCCACACAGAGATACACATACATACACATAATTAAAAAAATAAATAAATCTTTAAAAACTGAACTTTCAAGATAAAGGTGCCACTCTAGCACCAGTAGATATTACTTGCTGGGCTGAGGTCAATGTTGTGGTTCATAGAGTTTGAAGCTGAAAGGAATCATTGATTGTTTTTCCCTTGGTAGTTTGTATATTATCTTCTGATTCTATGGGAGCTAGTTTTCAGAGAGGAGGCTTCCAGGTAAGTTTCAGCCCTATAGCTCCAAGTCTAGTGTCCAAAGTATGTCCTGCCTTCAGCAATAGGATCTTATCTTCAAGTTCTGGGAGGCAATCAGGTTGAGGGATATTTAGGTTGTTTCCATTTCCTAGCTACTGTGAAAGAATACCAACCTATGTGGCTGAACAAGTATCTCTGCAGTAGGATGTTGAGTCCTTTGAGACTATATCAAGGATTGGTATAATTGGATCATATGGTAGATTTACTTTTAGTTTTTTAAGAGTTCACACCGATTTTCAGAGTGGTTGCATCAGTTTGCAATACCACCAGCAGTGAATAAGGGTTCCCCTTTCCCTACATCCTTGCCAAGTTTGGGAATTGTGAATAAAAACAAATATTAGAAGACAGAAGTCATGACCTACATGTATACACATAATGAGGCTCTTTCTAAGGATGTGATTCAATTATTCCCCTCAGCCAGCCAGTATTGGCATTCAAAGATTCACAGGCTTTTGTCTCTGCCTTCAAACTTATTATCATGTTGAGAAAGAAAGACAAGTGGTCTTAAACAATAAGCATCATCTGAATGCCATGATACTATTCAATAAAGGATAATCTTAGAAGGAAGGAAGAAAGGTGAAATAACTGACTCGGAAAGTTCATCTTGTATGAACAGAGTTGAGCTGACCTGGAAAAAAACCATCTCTAGGTCAGTGAACTACTGAAATCCTGGGCTATAATGGCTTATTTTTCATTTTATTACATTAGCCCATTTGAAAGGTGAGCAAAGGACTGACATTTTCATTTCATGTTTTGTTTGTTTGTTGGAGGTCTTTTGTTTTGTCTTAATTTCTTCCCTGATGCTGGAGGGAAGGATCAATGGGTAATATTAGGAAGAAATAGGTTGGAAAATTAAGACAGAACAGAGTAAGCAATTCATTTCGATTGTGGCCAGAGAGCTTATATGAGGGAGCCCTATCTGGAGAGTAAGGAAATGAAGAAGCCTGGGGTGCAGGATGAAGTGAGGAACACAGAAGGGTGATTAAGTCAGGGGGCAGGAACAAAGCAGTGTGACTCACCTGCTTTGCCAGGTGGCTGCAGGGTGAGGCAGACCCATCCACTGTTCGTGCTGTACCTATTTCTGATTCATCTTTCCATCCTCTGAAAAGGTTGTGAATCTCCATTCAGCATGATGAGCTCAGGTTCTACAGGGCAGGGAGAAGATCTGTGTGGTTTTTGTCTCGTCCCTTATTTCCACACCTTCTCATTAGCTCTCACTCTGCTCTGCAGAGCCCTGTCCCTTCTTAACAACATTTGAAAAACATCAGCATTTCCAGGCAATATCATAATTCTGTCAGTACTTTTACTCTTGATAAAACAAGGAATTTGTGGATAACTCTATACTATAAAATTGCCCTGGAAAAGGGTCTGTTACTGGAGACTCACAGGGGAGAGGGAAGGGCAGTACTGGGCAGTGAGGACCTTCTTGGGCACTAAGCTGCACACTCATGAGTCACAGAGGAATCCAGTCATGGTAACAGGACAATTGAAAAAGACAGGTGGAAATGGATGCACAAGTTGGTTGATTTATTAACATGAACATTATGTATATCTTTTTTATCTGAATAAGAACCCTTAAAATCTCTTAGTACCTGTCAAGAGTACAAGACATTTTTACTTATTAATTACTTTTTACTTTCTAGTTAAAAATGAATAATTTATTTAAAATGTAACAGGAAGTATCACCTAAATAAATAAATAAATAAATAAATAAATAATAAGCTATTTCAAATAGATTTTTTTAGTTTTTAAGTTTTTTTTAATCAAGAACATTTTTATTGAATTTTTATGAATTTTATAGATCTTTATTGCATTTAGATCTCTTCCCCTGTCTTCACCCCTTACTCCCTCATACAATTTCATATATATACGAAATATATATATTGATATACATATATGTCCTATAGAATCAAAATTGTGTCCCCAAATGTCCTTCAGTTTGGATTCATCCACGGGAGTTTGGTTAACTTACCAAGAGTCACACCCTTGAAAGAAATTGACTCCTCTTTCCAGCAACCATCACTTTCTAATAGTTCTCAGGTAGGGTTGGGGTTTCTTCCCCATTTCCCCACCTTAATACTGAGATTTCATCTGACTTGAGCTTCTGTGGTCCTGGTGTATGTTGTCACTGTTGCAGTGACAGATATTTTAAAAAACAGAGGGTAGAGTAACATAAAAGGGAGGCAAAACAACAAAGAAAAAAGTGAAAGAAGATAAATGAGATAGATGGAAGGGAAAGAAGAGCTTCCTTCAGTGAGAACTCTCCTCTTGATCGGAGGTTCTGATATCCACTTCCAGTCGTCATAGACTTCTCCCCTGTAGGAACCCTCGCCCCCACCAAACGTTACTGAATTCTGTGTCTTGTGAGGTTAAGATCATAATAAAACAGAAAATAAGTAAGAAAATGGAGAAAGATTCTTGTTTTCTGTGAAAGGTTTGTATATACAAGTTTGTTTGCTTCTAAACAGAGTTCTATTCTAAAACAAGTATATATTACTAAAATTAGATATAAGCATAGGTTTTAAATTAAGGAAAAAAGTCATTCCATTAGTCTTCTATGTGATGATGTTTGGAAATACTTATTAATTTATTTGGTATCGTAGAATGGCTTCTAAGACTCAGTCTTTTCTTTTATTTTTAATTAAAAATTGTTTTTTTCCATGTGTATGTGCGCATATTTATGTGAGTGTATACAAAGTATGTGCAGTTACCCTCTGAGGCCTGAATAGGTTGTTAGATACCTGAAGCTGGACTTATAGGCCATAATGAGCCTAGATGAACTGAAGTTTTCTGGAAGACCAGGAAGCACTCGTAGCTGCTAAGCCTTCTATCCAACTCCAAAGGCTA